AATTTTAGTCACAAACAGTCCTTGCCAATAAATAGATTAATAATAATTCAACTTTTTTGTTCCGATGACCATAACATAATAACGCGCCCCGACTGCGCTCGTCCTCCACAACTTAATTACGCAACCCTTACGTGATGTATGGCGTGTTACAGTCCCACGAGACTTGCCCGTGCCATGAGCGGAAGCGGGCTGCGATACCTTTTTACTTCGTGGGTAAAACTTGATTTGACAGACACGCAAATATGGTTCTAATTTTTTTTGAAGTGAAAACTTCTTTAGAATCGTTGTGATTTCAAACCGGATGCAACAGAAAAAACGACAGGCAAGAGACACAAATACAAAAATGTGTAGGATGAAGCCAGCAAAGAATGAGACAGAAATATACATACTATTTAATACAGCGCCATCTGTGAGATTTTTTAATACTAACGTGTGTATGAAAGCTCTTGTAGTGAATTTTAATTTAGGATTATACGTGAAATTAAAATATCAATTCACAGAGGGCGCTACCTTACAATTATTTACTAATGACAAAATTTTACATATACTTAAGACGTTTAGGATAATTGTATTTTAATTTTGGAAGGTTTCACTTCTACCACGTGTGAATTGCACACATGTAATTTTTTTTTTTTTCTCTGGTTGTGCTACACCGGTGCTGTCATTTTTCGAAAACAGGCTAAAGAAAGGCCACTGGACAGCGTCTTGGCTTCATTACTCAACCGCCGACGCACATTAGTGGCGATACGCGTACCTACGATCAGGTGGGCTCTACCTATCTATACAAACAATAAGTATAAGATTTATTTGGTACTAAATACAGTAGAACTCTTAATAAATGGCCAAACGTGCCTGACAATATTGTAATTATTTTACAATAACCAACGCTACGCAAGTCAGAAACGTGTTTGAAATCCAGCAGTCGTAGAGCAGGAAAATCCGCTCTTCGCTTTCAAGTTAGACCGGATACAGATGGCGCTGTGATCGGCGTTGCCATGACAACGCAGGTGCCATATCGATCGCCCACCTCGTCAGGTGTGAGGGTTGTATTGCAACGAAACTTGTAAATTGAGTGTTTGCTATATCGCATGTTGTATTTTCGTGAGCTTACACTTTACACGATGCATTGTTAAGTATAAGCAATTTTAAGACAAAGAGCACTCGTCCAGTACAGAAGCTATTAACTGCAAAGTTCGAAACGCTGTATGAAATAAATGAGTTAAAGCTGAGTAAAATGTTAATGTACATACAATATACTTATTTAAATAAAGTCTTTAAATCCAGGAGAGAATAAAACAGTTAAGTACCAATTTTATTGGTCAATGTATAGATTTACTTCCTTTTTCTTTTGATTCGTATTGCCGCCACAGGCAAACGATCGTACGGCTCAACTGATAATGAGTCCCCATCGTCGGTTATGACGTCAGCAGTGCCCGGATCATCCACTACTTGTTGTCACTAATTAAAAAAGAATAATATACCGAACTATACCAATATCTTTATCGAAAAAGACAAAACGTCTAGTTATCTGTAATATGTATGCGACTTAATGTCGATTCTCATCTCATTAATCTTTGATGACCACTCTACGGAATACAGTCTTTGACTGATCCGCCATATTCGTTACGTCGTAGTTGAAAGTTTTTTTTTTTTGTTCCTACCTAAGCTAATGGTCTTGAGAGACCATTTCAGCGTAACCTTCACTAGTACGAGTAGGTGAAGTCACGGGGCTTAAACCTGAGGATGCTGCTAACACCAACCCTAGCAAAAACCGTAGTTCGCAGAATCTACCACCGTATCCGAAACGCGAGCCACTGAGAAGATCCGGCGTGAAACTCAGTGGGGTAAATTGAAAGATGTAAAACTCAGCTCTTAAAATTTAAGTGTATTTATTATCTATCAGACTTAACACGTGATTATACATCTAACTATCTATACTTAAAATGAATTGCTGTTTGTTAGTCTCGCTAAAACTCGAGAACGGCTGTACCGATTTGGCTAATTTTGGTCTTGAATTATTTGTGGAAGTCCAGAAAAGGTTTAAAAAGTAGATAAATATGAAAATGCTCGGAATTACATAAAAATAACGATTTTGTTTTTCCTTTGATGTGTCTCTTTGTTTGTTTTAAGTTTATTTTATACAAAAGCTTAGGTCTTTTCTTTATCGATAGAGGCACTACGAAGTCTGCCGGGTCAGCTAGTAATATATAAATCTACAGTGGTTTTTAAGGATGTTCCATTATAACTATTGAACCATGCATCCGATTGACTTGAAACTCGGTATCCATGTAGAAAATACATGTACTTAATGGATATGCTAATATTTATATGAGTGTTGGACTCCCTACACCAGTTGCGGGGGCGTTAATGATGAAAATCTTTGTGGGGGTGAGAAATAATAATGTTAATGTTAATTGCCCAGCGAAGCGGACGGGTACAGCTAGTTTAAGAATAAAAATGTACGCTCGATCATAACGTTTGTCATTTGTTCCAAAAACCCAAACCCTACATTATCGATTTTCCTCACTTTGTCGACCGATCTTCTTATTTTTTCTTAAGTAGCTCTTGAAAGTTTTCAATGATACTTTTTGGTAATAGTCAATTTGTTTTTCTTTCTATGTATCGATGATTTGGTTAATGTTAGAAAGAAAAACGTAATATTATAGTGGGTATTGTAAATTGCACGTATTTTATTAGAAAAAATTATGCCCGTCTGTGGGATTTGAGCACCGGCACAATGGGATCGCTCGATATGAGCTCACCAGGCCTTTTATTCAGAGAAACAAAGATTACGCTCTTCATGGCATATTGTACTTATTTCTACACGTGCAGTCTATGGGTTAATGTTGAAATAAAACTCCGGAATAAAATATGTAACAGTTTTAATACAAAGAGGAAAAGGAAAAAACAAACTTATAAAAGCAAAGAAGGTGGCGTCACATGTGAGCGAATTGTGAACCATTTTTGACATTACAGATAAGATGAAATTATGTTTACAATTCTCCAACAGCTAATTACTCGCAAGGGCAGTATAACGCCCTGCGTGTACAGTATAACAATGCATTTAGGATACTGATGGGACTGCCTCGATTCTGCCGCGCATCGGGAATGTTTGCGGAGGCGCGTATCAACGATTTCTATGCCATAATAAGAAAGTGATGCGCGTCCTCGCTCTGCAGGACAGGGGGTAGCTTCAACGGTATCCTGACCATGATGTCATCGAGATTAGATGGACCTTTTCTCAATCATTTTAGAAAAGTCCATATAATTTGCTCGAAATAGTAAACCATTCTAAAATATAGATATAAATAAAATTGGTGTATCTGTTTGTAATATTGAACTAGCCGCTTTTTATTAAATGTATATGAAGATATTATATACGGTACATACACCAAAATATATATTTTTTACAATTTTTACCTGTCTGTTTGTTCCGGCTAATCTCTGGAACGGCTAGACCGATTTTGACGAGACTTTCACTGACAGGTAGCTGATGATATAAGGAGTAACTTAGACTACTTTTTTTAGAACTAGCTTCGCCTTGCGGCGTCACCCGTGGTACGACAATAACCGCGGGTTACATCGGGGGACTCAGCTATTGTATTATATGTCAGTGTATGTTGTTCTTTACTTTGATTTTGTTACTATGTCCTTACCTTACTAACATATTTTTAAGAAGTCAATGCTACTGTAAGTACAGGACAAAGGGAAGATCTTCTACCCAGCGGGTGATATTACTCGGTAGACCGACGAATCTAAATGTTGTTCGGAGCTTGTATATGTGCAAGCTTATCTTGAAAATGTCGTAAGCGAGATTCAGGCATCTGTCAAAACATGTTGCGTTGTATGATGGCTACCCGCCACACTACTAACATTAATATATATTAATAATTATATGTGAAATAAATGGATTTCATAATAATAATTATTAGTATACCTTAGGCCACGACGACAATCAATATAAAACAAATACAATCTTAAATTTAGACCTTTACTGGTGTAATAAAGGAAATTTCTTTCCAAAAACAATTTATTTTATTTTTATTTATTTTATTTATTACACTTCATGTAAAATTTACATTGGCGGACTTAATGCCTAAGGCATTCTCTACCAGTCAACCAAAGGTAGTGCAGAATAAATTTACAAGTATTCATTGTCACATTATACAAATTATAATTTCGTCTGACTCACTGCCCCGCGACCATATGCCGGATCATAGCAACATAGCAGACCGTATGATTTATCACAAAATTGTGATAATCATTGTCACGTTATCAATGTTAATATCAATGACGTTATCAGTCATCATTGTTCAGTTCAGATAAAGAGAGGTACGGTGCTGTCTGTAAACAAGTGTTTTTTTTTTTAAATATTTGATTTCTTTTCTTCGAACCTTTAAGTGTTAAACCATCAACTGTTTGGAGAAAACCAAAAATTTTTACCAATGTAAGTATACTATGTTACAATACTCGACTAGGAAAGTCGCACCTGCCTATGAGTGACCTGAAGCTGTGATGCTTTCCGCTACCAAATACCATTGAGACATCGACCTCATGATTCTGGGTGAGGTGGCATTTATTATCTAAGAGCTAAAGTTACCAAAGTTTATCGAAGATAGCAACGAGATGTGCTTAAAAAGACAGACATCCAGTCTAGTAGTGGAGATTTCATTGATAAAAATAAAAATAAAGATATGATAATGAGTTAAGATTCTGTTGTTAAGAGTTTTTTTGATTTGGACATAATAATATGATGAGATGAAATGACACTGAGGTTGTTAAGATAGGCTTAACTATGAATGTGGAAGGCTTTAGATGAAGAGGTAGACTTAAGAAGAAATGGATAGATTGCGTGAAAGACGATATATGTAAGAGGGGAGTGAACGAAGAAATGGTATATGATAGAGGAGTATGGAAGGAGACAACAAGTTGCGCCAACCCCAAGTGACTGGAAGAAGAGTAGGAGAATGATGATGATGATATTGTTTTGTTTACAGATAATGAGAGTCTGGGTCTTAATAGTTGCCTTACTCCTACCTAATGTCGGAGGATGGTTAAGTAGCATCTCAGTTATGGGTCAAGTGAGCAGACCTGACGGAGACTCCTGGTACGACACCATCAATAAACCATCTTGGACGCCACCGAACTGGGTCTTCGGTCCAGCTTGGACAGTATTCTACACTATGATAGGATATTCATCTTATTTGGTATACAGAGACGGTGGAGGCTTTACAGGTGTGTGCAGGAAGTATATCGTTGTACATTGCGTAGTGTAAGGTTAGGAAAGATGTCGATTATCGTCCTGAAGCGGCAACCATCAACTCTAACAGTTCTCAAGTATTTACGCTACAATAGCCTTTATACCGTCCCATTAATTGATAAATAAAATTATTGTATTTTTTTATAGCTTTTATGGGTGGACGAGCTCACGGCTCACCTGGTGTTAAATGGTTACAGAAGCCCATAGACATCTACAAAGTAAATGCCGCCACTCACCGCGAGAGATGAGTTTGTTGAGTCTCTATATCGGGCAAGGATTAATAAGACACGTGTTCAGTTAAGTGACTAAAGTATATTGGGATTACAACCTAATGTGTTATCGACAGCCCGACAATCCCGAGACTGACGTAGCATCACTGCAATATAATTATCGCTAACACATACATATTATTATTAGTTGCTATGGGGACATTTGTGGCTCCTACAAGTTGTAAGGTCTCAGTGTTTACAGTATAACGGCCACCGCACTCTTCAAACCGAAACGCATTACTGCTTCACGGCAGAAATAGGCAGGGTGGTAGTATTTATCCATGCGGACTCACCAGACTTCCTAACACCAATAAAATCATATATTTTAGTACTGTGAAGTATAGTATATAATTATTGTATATAGTATTTAAGTATTGTAAGTGTATAAGTATTGTAAACCATCTATTTTTCTTGTAATTTAACAACCAATGCGCATACTACTTTCTTTTCTACAACACCCTTGGTTGACTCCTTAGGGATTAGTTCGGCAAATGTACATTAATGTTCATGAAGCTATAAACAGTCCCAGTCTCAGGAAAAACGGCGCTAGCTGGTTGTCATGTATAATGTAAATATAATTTTAAAGTTAATCTCCTTATGTTTCTAGAAAAGTCGCAATTCCCTTTGACTCTTTATCTGATTCATTTGTTCGTCAACTGGACGTGGACTCCTGTGTTCTTCGGACTCCATAAGCTTGGACTGGTGAGTATTGAATCAGTATTGAAAGCTCTTATCCTAAGGAGTAAAGCCGTTGTCGATATACCGATGTAGCTTCATTACAATACAATAAGAACATTTTTTCGTATGGTTGATATGTACAATGTTTGAGTCATAAAGAAAAATATTACTAAAATATATTTTTCAAGAAAATTGCATTGAATAATGACGTGTCCGGCAGTACAAGCGGAGTAGGGAAATCTTATTCAGTGATGTACTAAAAAACTTTCATGCTAAATTTTTTATACTTTTCAAAAACTCAACCAATCTTTTTATATTAGCATATCTACTTTATAATAACATTTGTTTTCAATATCGTTCTAAAAGATCAACATTTACATTGGATAAATAAAGCGAAGGAAGGTGTAGATACATTCATTCAATTAAACAATATAAGTCTATTAAACGCAATTGTCAAATGAGCATCTATGGAGCAGTAGCGTATTTACCCAATACGTACCCCAAGGATGCGGCTTCCAAGAGTTTAACTTCGAAAAAAGTGTCGTAATTGTAAATCTGGCGACGCGCGAGGTATCCCAACACAGTAGTTGAGAACCGCTGGCCTAGTTGGTTTAAACTGGTGGTAGGACCTCTTGTGAGTCCGCGCGGGTAGGTACCACCTCCCTGCCTATTTCTGCCGTGAAGTAGTAATGCGTTTCGGTTTGACGGGTAGGGCAGCCGTTGTAACTATACTGAGATCTTAGAACTTATATCTCAAGGTGGGTAGCGCATTTACGTTGTAAATGTCTATGGGCTCCAGTAACCACTTAACACCAGGTGGGCTGTGAGCTCGTCCACCCAACTAAGCAATATATTTTTTTTATCAAAGACTTGGTATGATTTTTTTAAATATTGTTTTTTTTCAGGCTCTTCTACATATTGTCATATTAGATATACTAGCAGTGGGCTGCGCAATAAGCTTCTATATGGTCAACAGATGGGCAGCTGGCCTGTTCCTGCCGTACATCGCGTGGTCAATATTTGCTACCTGCCTAACTGCTACTCTTTGGCATCTTAATTAATGAGCATCGTCTTTATCGTCTTACGCAGTCATTACTTTAATTTGTGTAGTAATAGTACAGACAGCATTAGACATGATAGCAATTGTTAAATTAATGAAATATTAGATTATTAAATATTAGATTAGAGATTAAGCCACCATAGTTTTTGTGTGTACGATATTTTGATTTGCAAAATTTTATTATAATATACGGCGCATGAGGGCTCATCTTGCATTAGTTACCAAAAAGGTAGATGTGTCGAGTACGTCTAAACCCTACATCGTAGCCAAGTCTTTGTTATCTGATAAATTCCAATATACAGTAGGTATTGATGTCGAATGGCAAATGCATAAGGTACAAATTTGCTAAAATTCATAGCACACAAGAACACTAAGCTTAACGATTGAATGATCAGAAGACGGAGACTCCGGCCCTAGACGCTTATCAAAACATCCATGTTCAAATTAATAAAACAAGAAGGGTAAATTGGATTCAATGATTCATTAAACAAAACCTTAATGAATCATTGGGTTGAATCTACAGCCCGTAGTGTCGCGTTATTAGCTTAGCTACGAAATACTCCGTAGATTGCTACAAAGAGACTACAGGTTTCAAAGCTTTTAATTTCTTCGTTTTTCGAATAATAAATACATAATACTCTCAAAGTTGATTTTTTCGTTTTCATTTTCATTTGACCTAATGATGAATTGACCAAATGGATTGAACATTCTGCCTCGTTCTGCGACGCCCAACTTGTCTTCTAAGTCATAATGATCTCCAATCATCCCACCCAACTATGAACTGGGGTATACTATACCGGGCTTTACTACCAAAAGACCACCCATTAAACATCTGAAAAAATACGACGTTCTCCAAAAAATGGTTCATAGTTTTCGAAGACAGACCAGCGTACCACATGCCTAGTTGCCCCCATACGTATAAATCTATCAGGTACCAGTTATACCAACGGCAAAACCAAGCAACTGCCTTTTGATGCTTTTTTATAACCTCGTTTGAAGAAAGACATGGTATTGCGCTTAAAGAACACCTTGAATGAATTCTGTATAGAGCCAAATGATGCGTGGTAATATTGAATCGATGATCACTCCCAGGGAGTAAGGAGGAACTCTGTTCCGGTGGTGGGTGGTAAGATACTGAAAAGGTAATGACCGAATAATATCATCATCATCATCCTCCTGTCCTTCTCCCAGTCACCTGGGGTCGACGCAACATGTTTTCTCCTTCCATACTTCTCTATCATATACCATTTTTTCGCTCACTCCCCTCTTACACATATCGTCTTTCACACAATCCATCTATTTTTTCTTAAGTCTACCTCTTCGTCTAAAGCCTTCCACGTTCATAATTAAAACTCTCCTAACAACCTCATTGTCATTTCATCTCATCACATGTCCATACCATCCCAAACGCGCACGTCTCAACATCTCTGTCTCGGGTGCCACTTTCAGACTTCCACTAACATATACATTCCGTATTCTATCCATTCTTTACACCACACATCCATGGCAACGCAAAATGACCGAATAATATCATACTCTCCAAATTTTCTATTTTAATATTTATACGATCCTGCCGTTTCTACCATTAGGTTGGATTAGTGGTCTTTATACCATACAATTGAGACTCGACCTCACGTATTAAGGCCGATGGCGGTATTCATGTGAAGATGCTTATAATCTTCGGCAAATATTTAAAATCACACAGCCCATTAGCTAAGGCCAAAAAATACTTGAATACTTCACTTAGAAACATCAGAAATGGGTATCCACTCGTATGCGCCAATTAAAAATTAAAAACAGGTAGGTACGACTGCCAAATCGTAACAAGCCCTAGTTCCACCCTTGTGTAGCGGGGGGATGAAGTGCTTGTTAAATTTTCACGGACGTCTGACCCTTTCCAACCCCACTGCCAGCCCTGCTCTATAGCTGTTAAGGTTTTTCCCGACATCGCTTCAAGGACGTAATGCGATTCTTTGAAGTGCTTTCTTTTTTATTGTAAGGTCGATTCGATTTAATATTTGAACACTAACTGGGAAAAGTGAAATCATTAACGTTTTATTTTTAATGACCCCAATTTCATGAAGATTTTTTGTTTCTTTTTATGTTAACCCGTTTCAAATTGGCGTGCAGAATACTATTCGTATCAAACGACCGACCGACGTATATTTAGCGAAACATCAAACACATATACATACTGGTGAGGTCAAAAACTTAAAATATCCCTACCTTTTTCAAGTTGCCATTGAAAACCATTGAAAAAACTATATCGAAAACTATTATTTTATAAATAAAACATTAATATAATCCCAGCCCTAAAACAACAAACAAACAAATACTAAAACACTAATGAAAGTGAACCGGCACAAACAAGTTGGATGGTGCTTGACTGATCAAAGACTTCAATTGATTTTGTTTATAGAGGGCTCGAGTCCTGTTTCATTTGCTTTCACTGTTATCACAGACATTTAAATATTTACTTACAGCACGAAATCTGTAAAATGAATCCAGCTTTTAAAATTGTACAATTGTTTAAATTCCTTGTCACGACCAGAACGTGATAAATTAAAAACGAACCATGATTGAGCTTGTAGTACTCCAAACACGGGCGGTTTCTCTAAAACTTTTATAAACATTGAGCCCTAAATATAAATAATTCGATGATTTTGTGAAATATTTAAGGCCTTCTAAATAGCCGTAATGTCCGTCTGCCTACGTTCCTTACTTCGCGTCGAGAATTCCCATGCTCTATAAATAAATATACCTGTATGTATACAAAATACGATCGAAATTTGTTATCTAACAATTCGCAAATATCTTGATTCAACCACTGCAGCAAAGATGCTGCCCTCGCTAATTTGTCTAATTACTTACCATAACAAACTCACCCCTACACAGACCATCCCTACACTACTTTACCAAACGATTCACAATCTTATTCACTTAGTAATACAGTTGAAATGGAGCAAACGCGAATCCAATTTGTTTAAGAATACTTCATGGGAACTGAAGCAAAATTCTGAAACGGTCCAATTTTAAGTGCTTGAATAATAGACGACTCCTGTATTGGTTCAATGAATTATTTACTTTATTGTTAAGACAGTTAAGTCCAAATTCCTTTATTATTGGTATGGTTATGAAATATCCCGTAATTGATTGATTTGCATCTGCGACGTAACACACTAACGACAAAATTAATAATTCAGAATAATAGTGAGTTGAAATAGAACGAGCAAAATAGGTTGTATGTGGGAAGAAAACGAAGCTCTATAGATAAAACATATATAGATACCAGTAATAGCTTACTAGCTAATACTAGTATAATTTTGGAGTAAAATAAAAAACCGATATATTTTTTTCCTACCTATGCTGATAGCCTTGAGAAGCTATTTCAGCTTTGCCCTAACATGTAGGTGAGCTCATGGGGTTCAAACCGCAGTGTTGCTAATAGTGACTCTAGCAAGAGCAGTGCTTCGCAGAATCTACCACCGGATCGGAAACGCGATCCACTGAGAAGATCCGGCGAGAAACTCAGTGGGCTGTCTGAGGGTTAAAAAACCGATGCTTACCGTCGCATTTAAAAGCCAGCATAATTGAATACGAAAGTCAGAACTCTCTCTGGATTCTAATTATTTTAAACATCCTGGCAAGATGTTAAATATCTCTACAAGAACACCTTCACGTTTTTTAAATACGTTTTAATAACTAACCCGAGGGTATAGGAGACATTTTCCGGCACCGAAAATAAAAAAATCCGGCCCGATCATAATTATAAACCCATGGACAATCCTAGTAACAAATATCATAAAAATAACTACAGTACCAACTACTAGGATAGCAAGTTAACACGCATATAGTAAAAAAGACTTACAAAACATTTAAGTAAATGTTTTAAAACAACTAATGAAAGCTTCACTATAAAGCTTTTATAGTCGAATAACTCAATTCACATACACCGTTATAACTATACTTGAGACCTTAGAACTTATATCTCAAGATGGGTGGCGCATTTACTTTGTAGACGTCTATGGGCTCCAGTAACCACTTAAGACCAGGTGGGCTGTGAGCTCGTCCATCCATCTAAGCAATAAAAAATAAAAACCATCTTAACCATTAAGCCACGAACGCATACATACAACATGTTTAAATGATACTTTCATTAATCTCGTCAGCTTCCCCCGGGTAGCATCAGAATCTATTAAAAGTATAAAATTCTTCTTCTCATTAAAGGTTGTGACAGTAAAATACATTTTCTTTTCATAATTTTCAAAGCTTCGTTAATATTTAATGGCCGTCAATTAGAAAATGGCAATCAGTAAAATAATTTCATCAAATGTCCTAAAATGTTCAATGTTAATTTATGCCTTATTCAAAATAAAACAATTATTACTTTTCTGTTGAAACAATTTATTCGATCACTGATTATGATTGTTTACCATCTCACATACATCTATGAGTACATACGATTACACAATATAACTACTAAACATGTTAATGATTAAATGAAGAGAAATGTCATTTTAAATAAAATGCTTTAATAAGACTTTCACCGTTGTTGCGACGGTAAATTTAAAGTATTTTACAAATACAAGTGCTTGTTCTAACGGATATTGTTAGCTATTCAAAAGCCATAACATTCTTGAATCCTTTTAACAATTAATGATTATCTTTAATTAGATTTAATTATGTTCTACATCTATAGTAATGCAATGAAACGATATTTGAATAACCTATGATTCAACTCACTACAGATTTTTAATGTATGTTCTGAATTTGTAAATATATGACACATGAAAAATGTGCTTGATGCATATATTATTACGCATTTTTAGATTTTGATTTGATTGATTTTGATTTATTCCGTAATCACGACATTTAAATTCATATCTTTTTATGTATCAACCAAATGATAAGCAATTTTACAAAATTGAAAAGTTAGAACATGTACTTTTATCGTTCCGCTAAAACTAATTTACAAACATTAGCTACGCTATGTAAATATTTTGATTATCTTTTTAAATCTAAGTCAAAGAACGAATCTAAGATTTTATTGGTTGAGATATACTTGACAATAGACAGTTATTAAAAAATGTTAAATATAGTTACATATATGTATGTACGTAAATGATACAATATTTTTCGTTGGAAACACGTAACGAATATTTACATTAATAATGACTTATTAAATAAATTCCACTACTTATAATTTTCTACTACTAAAGTTTATAATGATAAATTTCAAACGTAAGCGTTTTTTGTAATTTTCATTTACTTATAAATATTACTGATATAACATGGCCTAAAGACCTAAAAAGTTAGAAGATAAATTGAAGCTACGATAATATTATGCACCACAGTATTCAAACATTCCCTTGTGTCTTCAATGGAAGCTTGTTGCTAACAAGAAATAAATTTGTCGAGTGAAAAGAGACAGCATGAAATTTGAAAGGCTGGTGGCAATAAAATAGAACTTAGACTCTATTTATCCCGACATTAAGTTTTCTATATATTTTTAATTAGTATAAAGTGGTGCATTCGAAAAACTACAATAGTTGGAATAGATTAATATATTTTTTTAAATATGTACACTCATTAAATGACATTTAAATATATATGATTCTATAGATGACTATCACTCGCATTGTGTGTCTTTATGTATGTACAACATGTCTACGCTACTGAACAAGCAAAAAAAGATAATTCAAGCTATTAAATAATAAATACGAACACTAAATGCGTATTAACGACTCAAGGTCATTAATCGCAAAACTACTGTTTAATTGACAAATTCTAATGTCGTTCTCTTAAACTCCTAACTTATTTTAAGATTAAATTTGATTTTAATAATATCGTAAAACACCTAAAAATATAAAGTTATATTTAAGAATGATATTGTTATCTTTATACTACCGACTACTCTAACCTTTTATATTAATATCTTAAATCTATTAATGATCTTATTATGCATAATAATGATAATGATAAATGGAAAGGATTATGTGGTAAATTATGTTTAGTAAATTATATCGTATCATGAGGATATAATTTACTAAATTAGTATGCAAAATTAATGTTTGAACAATGGATGAAGTTCATATTATATACTAACTACATACTACATTCATTAGAACTTTTCATTTTACTTCACCTGTCAATTTGTATATCAACTGGTCATTTTGCGTCGTTAAGGAGTAATATTTACTTAAGATATCAAGTGTTTTTATGGAGTTAGAGTATTTAACAAGAACGTTTTGGAAATAAATCTTTTTTTTTATTTACAAGCAGCAACGCTTGTAATATTATCGATTGCTCTTTATCGACAGTATTGTCACTCTTGCGATATCTAACTAAGCCCAAAATCTAAAGACGAGTCACGATATATTTTCGGTACTTTTTCTTTCGCGTAAAAATACTACGTCTGAGTAACAACTAGGGCTCAAATGAATTGACCGAGCACAGAAAAATCCTAAAATGTAGTGATTACTTCTAAAAAAATTACTAAATTTAAACCTCTCAATACTATTTAGAACTAAAAACTATAATAATATTCTAGATATATGGAAACTAACGGGGGTTTCGCTTTTCAAGTTTTCAGTTGTTTTTGACTAAGGTCAGAAATTTTCTGCAATATTTTGATTTCCCATTTAAGGTGTCGATAACTACTATATGGCAAACCAGAGGACCGCAGACGTCGTGGCAGGCCCAAACTCCGGACGGTTAGATGGCGTAGAGCATGACCTCAAAGTTATTGGTGTCAGGAACTGGAAGGAGAAAGCCCTAAACAGAGCAGTCTGGAGAGACATACTAGACCAGACTAAGGCCCACCCTGGGCTGTAATGCCTAAGATGATGATGATTTAAGGTGTCGCGTGAGGTATATAAACAATACTGGTTCATGAATGCGCTACAGTGGTGGGTCAGTTAGAGATCCGTCAGCATATTCGGCATGATAAAATATAGAAGGGAGAAGCAGAGATTTTCAAGAGTAATGAAGACTGATCAACTTGCTAAATCAACTATTCCATCAAATACCATCATTAATGTAATGCGGCAAGCCACGACAGTTCAAGGTTTAAATGTATGTATGGTTTGGAAGAGAATAACTATAACAGCTCTAAAGGCTAACGATAGTATTTCTTAGATTTAAGGATAAACTTTAGAGAAGATAATGCTAGACTTATTATGTGAAATAGAATTAACGATCTAAAGGACGGGTTTTGACTTAATTTAGATTTGTACGACTGCAAACTGTTTTCTTTGATTTCATTTTATTAATGTTTTTCTACATCTTACACCAAATTGTCTGGCTATAAGTTATAAAACCATAAAGTTAACACCTTCACTGCGAAACACGTCCATATTGGCCCGCGCCGATACTTTCAGCCGGTGCGGACGAGGAAAACTTTGTCTCTCTCACTAGTGGTCTTACTACGACAACTATATACTATAAATTGTATATATAGTATATTATCAATGTCGAATGTATGTATAAAAATATTTTATACATACATTCGTCATCGACAACTATATACTATAAATTGTATATATAGTATATTATAATAGTATAGTATATTTTCGCCTCACATGCACTGGTGGAAATATCATTGGGGGCGCATTTCGACCCGTTCCCGCACCAGATGAAGGTTAATTTAGTTAGATGTTAGATTTATGTTAAGACATTTTAATACAATCGTCAATTATGAGGTTCAGATATACATATTTGTTAGTTCAGTCGTAAGATATAAATTAGTTTGGATTGAAAACAGTTTGCAATCACAATGCTACAGATTGTTAAGAATAAATTTATAATTTAGTACGTTAGAAGTAGTGTGTGATATAATATAAAATGATTTGTAATGGAAAATGATTATAACTAGATATGAATGAATTCAATTTTAGATCAATCGTAAGTATGTTTTAGATTGATTATGTATTACATGTTTGTACTGGTTTGGTAAGATGTATTGTGTGACTCCAACGGAACGTTAGTAGGATAGGTCAAGCTTGCTTAGTCTTGTGAAAAAATTACAAGGAAAACTCCCTCTAGCATGGTCTTGCATTGTGCACCAGATCTTGGATCTATGACAGACTACAGAGTGTAGAATAGTTATTGATTTCTGGGTAGATAATAATTAATACGCAGTTGGATTTTAGGAATTTTGTATTATTAATTGTATGATAATGATTATTGATTTTAATTTTAAATTTAATGATGTGCGTATTAAATAGCTTAATTCTTAAGTTATGATAATTAAAAATAGTTCTTTGATGTGGTAAATTTCAAAATCCGAAATATAAATTAACGTGATACATTAAAATAATAATATGTCATTTAAATATAAATAAATTCTCAAAATCATACGGATTATAACATAAACAAGTAACAAAAACGAATTAAAGATTGCAAACAACGTTGGGTAGGTATCTTTCTAATGCATTAAATTATAAGTGCCAGAAAGAAACACTAAAAGGTTTCATCACATTTAGTTAGTTAGATAGATTAGATAATACAGAATATTATCTATATTAATATTACAATTAATTCAAAAATATGTATTGTATATTAAGTATAATATAGTAAAAAAATCTTATAATATATATAGTAAAATGTATACTTAACTGCTAGTGATATGTTTGTGATATCGACGGTTTCTTAACGTAGTAACTAGAATAAAAGTACATATTATAAAATAATTGCGCATTAAATTGTTAATATAGATTCTCACAACACACTAAGCATTGATATTCAAATGCGTCGTAGTACATGTATTTTGATGGTTGTTATTAGATACTTCTAATATATATTATAATATATATAGATTAATACTAATGAGATTTATTTGTAAAGATAAAGCAGTGGTAGATATATTTTCTATTGAAGTTCATGAATTTGACTAACTTTCAACTTTATGAAGCCACATGTATCGATGATTTAAGCAGTGCATCGCGGCCCCGTTTCACGTTTGGTAAAAACTATTTTATTCGGGTGCTCATTTGTATTTTTTTTCTTAAGACTGACAATATAACATATATTATGTCAAATATTCATTTTTAGCCTTCGAGGACGGATGATGGTCGCCGATGACATGCCTAGCGACTGGAACTCTTTAAAAAAGTGAATTCCATTCAAGAGTTTTTTTAATTAATTCGCAAAAAAGTGAATAAAAGCAACTTTAATAAATTCCACAAAAACATTATATCTAGTTAACATAACACACGGCATTACGTAAATTTGCATTTTTCTACACTAGCTCCGTTATCACTTCAAATTTTCAATCATTAAAATAAATAATTGATTTAATTAAACCATCAAAATACGTGTATGACTAAGCACATATTCGATTAGAATCATTACTCAAAATTATGTACTACTAATTAATTGAATTTCGGGAGAGTCCAATTTGAATGAATTGACATTTAAATATTACTTACGAATATAATTGCGCGAGAGGCTCCTTATTAGAAAAAGAAATTTTAAATATTAGTTTTCAGTAAATAATTAATAAAAATTAATGTTTTTGATTACTGACGATAGCAAATTTAAAAGGCATTTCGCTGTTATTTAATTGTTACTTGTTCAATCTTTTTATTGTAAGCACCACATGCGCGCGGAGGAGTTTCGAGTTCTTTGGACATTTCGCCAGAAAGAGAGGTGACAATCTGGAAAAGCTGCTGGTAACAGGCAAGGTATGCGGGAGAAGGCACAGAGGCAGAAATCCAATGCGCTGGTCGAACCAGATGCGCTCCACTCTCAATACCTCAGTCCACGTTGCTATCCACACAGCCGAGGACAGGCAGGAATGGCGCAAGATAATGTAGGAGAAAGTTATTAGAGGAGGCCACGACCCTCAGCACTGAGGATTATCGACGCAAGGAGGAGGACTGATCATGACAAAAAATCAGATAATGCTTAAAGAATTAATTTGTGCTCTCGAAGCGGAGAAGTGAAGTTCGCTCATGAGTCTAGCGGTATACGGCCGAAATGATATGTGGAAATGCACTTTGGATTCGATGCTGTTATAGTGAGAGAAATCCTTAGAAACTGAACAAATAAAATAGAAAATATCAGGTCATTCTAGAACATTGATATCTTCAAGGATGCTTCTATTGAATTAGATCAAACTCACCATATTAATTTAACGAAGGTCGCCGCGTGGCGTAAGATGGAAGCCTCAACAAAAATACGATTATCCCACCCACCCTTCGGACTGACGGATGTAAAGGTCGCGGTAGATATAACTGTTCTTCTGTGCTTAATAATGAAAATAATGGATTAGACATCCTTGTAGATTTTGAGAAATAGTTTTCGGAACTATTTTAGAACATAACGGACGAAGCAAAGAGGTTTTTTATCTTATAATAAAATTCATATTACGACCGGACTACACTTCAGGCTAGCGATATGAGTTAATAAAGAACCTCTACCGACATTAACATTAGACGATTTGTGCGAAATTATAAACATTTGTGCTTTTCATCCTACAGTATCTATTGATCTATTGTACTCCGCAGGCTATCTGCTAGTCACACGCCAAACGGCGAATAACCTTTACAATAATATCAAATTACATAATTTTAACATTCCATTACATGCAATAGTATTATTTAATGTTGAGACCATTAATTTTAAATCAGTGATATTTTCAAAGCGAATATATTTCGAGTATCAAGTGAGATCTCAATCGTTCTCTCAGCTCCGAGTATTGGGGAATATTTGAGTAACATAACTCAAAAGTATATTGGAATTCAAGTCTCTGATTTAGAATGAGTTCACGCTCAATTATAGTCTCTTCCAGTGCCTCTTTTAATGAAAGGTAGGTGCAATCGAGAGGAAATTCAATTTTCTTTTTTAATAATATTAAATATACTATTGTTTTCTTCGATAAGTGTACACCACTGCTTTTATTTGCAATACACAAATTATTTTAATAAAACTTTAATTAATTCCTCTGTCTGCACAGGAATCGGTTCCCGATCCAAATTGTCAACATTTTCGCTTGAAAAATATCCCAGAATTCGCTTTGAAAGTTTATAAATGCAAGAAATATTACGCATCTCAAAATTAAATATAGTCTTAAAAGTACAATAATTTTAATATGTTTATACAATTAATGCTTTTTTTTTTACTATACACTCTCAATTGACATGTTGGGTTCGTCTTGTACAATAATAATTATATAGTTTTATAAGAATATTTCATTAACTGCTATTCTGATATATGCAAAATAAATGTGTTTGGTCGCTTCTAGGAATGTCCGCTTTTATCTATGAGTATATATTGAAAACAAATATAAATATTGAGGTAGCTTTGGCTACATTACTTTCTTAAATAAATTTTGAGAGTATTAAGATGTGATGGTATTTTGTGGTTAGAAATACTATTTTTTTTATTGCCACAGACAAGCAAACGGCCCACCTGATGGTGAGTGGTTGCCGTCGCTCATGGACGTCAGCTATGCTAGAGGCAGAACCATGCTGCAGGCTGCAATTACGTAATCTCCACAAGCCTCCTTTAAAACACTGTAGAGGGGAGCTCATTCCAAAGCCGTATGGTACGTGGCAAAAAAGACCTCTGGAAATGCACTATGAATGATCGCAGTGGTTCCAGGTAGTACGGATGAACTCTAATCCAGTAGCGGGTGGTGCGACTGGTAAAAACGAGATGACGGGATCCACTCATAAAAATAACACAGCATATTCTACTGCAAGCTTTACATTTAGTAGAGTCAATAATGAAGTTAGCTTTCAAAAGGTACGACCCATTAAAACGACCAAACATCTAAACACACAACAGCTAATTACCACACTCATTAATATTCCTATAATTACAACCCTGGGATGGCGATTCTTTGCGTTGGAACTCTACTTTAAGCCCCACATACTTTTTTATATAGTTATCACATTATGTTTTATAGCTCTTAAGACGCAACTGGCATATTTGCAATTCTCACATCGACCAAACAGTTTAATGAAATATTTGTATCACAATTACACCAATACCTTAGGGTGTATTTACAATGGATCAGCTACCTTCTTTCTTTCATCAGTTTTAAACCAACTCCCATTGATTTTGTCCAGCCAGCCATGCGAACATTGCAATACAAGGCCAATGCATTTTTTTGTGATATTTATCGAATAATTCTTGAGTCAATGACAGCTGCACCCTAATTGTACATTCCCATTACCTTTTCAAACACAATTAACTAGTTGTTCGATTTGAAACTGTAAATATGCACTAGTATACTTATTGCGAGTTTTTTAACTTCTCGATCGCGTAAAAGTTAACTCAAATTTGTATGGAGTTGGAACAGCGCCCCTAGCGGCAAACGAAGGGAAACTGGTCCAACTCTATACAAATTTGATTTACTGTCTATAGCATCTACTATTCGTATCTTGGCAAATAAACTATCGCTCAATGCGTCTTAGCACGTGCCCTATCAAAACGTAATATGACGTCACAATATATCTAATGTTTATCTTTAAGTACTTTGATACTCGAAAAAGACGATTTAGTATTTTAGATGATGCTTCTCTGAAATGACTATTCTCAAATGATGTTTATCCGAATTTGTCCCGCAATGCTTTCACCATCCCGATATGTACTTATTTTATTCACAACTACATATTACACTTAATCATAATATCTAACAAAGTATTATGTATATTCCTATAATTAAGTTGAATCAAAAGATTCTGATATGTATCGTTACCTCGGTTGCAACTTATCACAAGTTGATTAAAAACTAATTTAAAACAATTAATTGATATTTTAAATTGATATTAGCGTTATTAATCTAGTATTGCTGATTTTAAGGATACAGTTTTGAAGCAAGCGCGCAGATGATGCAAATTACATGCAGCGGATAAGATATATTTTTAAATATTCTCGACATTAACTTAAGGAAACTGTAATATTTTTAATGCAACTAGAAACGTCAAGGCCTTGTTTGACTGGTTCCTCATATTTGCGCTTCATATTTATAGAGAAACCAACCACCATACAACTATATGTGATGATAGATTACTAGACACATGATAATAGATTATTTCCTTCGTTTCCAATACTCATACGTGAACCTTAGTTCATGTGTACACGTCGTAACTGCAATATCATTTAATAAAATTCACAACTTATACACTCTTGCAACAAAACCGTATCCCATCACGATACAACATCTAAAAATATATTGATAGTGAATATAATTGATCACAAATTACACAATATTTACAAAGTATTAGCTTCTTTCAAACTGCGTTATGCCACGACATTCCTTTGAAGCTCAAGAGATGGTTTCGATCGAACGAATTATGAAATATCGCTGACTGCATGACCCATTCTTTACCAATTGTCGTTTACATAAGGTCTTTAGGTCCTTACCTAAAATTTCAGTGCACTTAGCTTATATTCAGGTCTAAAAATGCACTTAAAATTTACACGAATATATGTCTTATATCTAGAAGGCATAACATATACATATATAGTAGAACAATATAAAATATCAACAGTAAAATTTCGGTCACATTCAAAATGACATCTTAGTTGCTGATCATTCCGTTGACACTACGCAGGCGGTGGAGCCAACGCTTTGAATGTAGAAACCGTCACCCATGATATTAACAGTGTCATATTTTTGCAGCAACTCGTGCAAAAAACCATGGGCACCTGTTACCAAAGAATGTTAGCATAATGCTTATTCCTAGAGCTCAGAGACCCCATAAATATGAGATAGATACGATACCGCTGGGCCAAGAGTCCAATAGAGCCTCATCAATCTTTCAAAGTGAATGAGGTTCGACTTTATTTGAAATGTCATTGTGAATGCAACATGTACCCTACATAGTAATTACAAGCACAGCTATGGAGACACCAAACGCCGCGGTCGTATAGCGACTCAGTGATCGAAGATAAGACTATAGATACATATACTCAAATATAGATTAGTTACAATTACACAACAATTAAATTTCAAAAATATCTGCAACAACACTGAATTAGGAGATTAAAATCCTTGGCGGAAAGGATTTTTGATGGTGGGTCCCGGCGGGGTGGGGGCGGGAGCTGCGACGGGTGCAGTAGACGCCCCTGCCCTGAAAGGGTTACTGACCGTCTGAGGCTGAGCCGGTAACTGCCTCGGTTGGTTGTACTCCGCTTGCTGATATTCTTGATGGTATCCTTGCTGTTCATAGCCTTGGCTATAACTTCCTCCTTGATAAGTCTGGTCGTAAGAATAATTCCCAGCATCCACATTTGATTCCTGAGTAGCTTGACCGGTACTACTATTGTACTCCAAGTGATTTTTATAGTCTCCATTAATCGGCTTCTGGTCTTGCATGGTGTAAGTCTGGTATTCTTTATCTGGTGGATCAGCCATCAAAATATTGGCTTCGTTCTCAAATGGCTTGAAGTCATAAATATGCCGAAGGTACATCAGCACTGGTGCATAAAGAAGATTACTGAACGCAATTAGCAGGTTCAAAGCAGTGAATCCAATAGCCTCGACGACCTCTCCAGCGATGATGGGTCCTACAGCATAAGCGAAGGAGTATGATATGTCAGCAATGGCATAAATACTTCCGTAGACAGATACATAACGAACATCGACCAAGTATCCAAGAGTTGGCAGCAAAGCTGTGTCGATCAAGGCAATCCCGAAGCATATACCGCAAATAGGAATCATCAACATCTTATACGAACTCGCGAAAGGTATGATGAAACAACATAAGCCTTCCAGAGCCAATCCACCAGCGGCCATCAACCATTGGTGCTGAGGGTACTTTTTTGCCATCTTGACGGTTATAATCACACCAAGGACATGAGGGAAGAAAGCCGGTAGCCATATCATGCCTATTTTCCAATTATCTTTAGTCAAATTGTCTTCCATCCAAGATGATATCGTGGGCTCCAGGAATGCAAGCGCTACGTTGGACATCATTAAAGCTCCAGCGCAAACTGCGATGTACGGATCAATCAAGAGCTTCCAAATAGGAGTTCCAGCCGGTTTTGGCTCATTTGCCTCTTTGATCTGAGTCTTTATTGGCTTCATGACGAGTAATAACATGAATCCATCCATTAAGGATATCAACGCCAAAATAAGAAATGGCACTTCCTTGCCCGCAAATTGATATAAAGCACCGCCAAATGGTGGAGCGACTAGGCTTCCAAAACTAATAAATGCCAGTGCTATGCCTAGTGCTTTAGAGCGCTCGGATTCTTCGGTAAATCTGTCAGCGATCATAGCTAAGCCTGATGTATCAGCAAAGGCCGATCCAACTCCTTGAAGACTCCTAGCAAAGAACAACATGCTATAGCTTCTACCACAAGCGAAGATCGATGTCGACAGAAACATAATGATAAGTCCTATCATCATGGGAATATCGTAGCCGATACGATCGATTAAAGCACCGGAAAAGGGATTAATCATCAGCTGAACTATAGCTTTTGATGCGAATAGAACTCCAGTAGCCGAATCTTGCCCCTCATGAGAACCAGGAATGATCTTCGTCGGTATCACTGTTCTGTTCCCTTCTTTGATTGGCGGCAAAGTAACCACGTGGTCGTAAGCTGCCTCACCCCATGCGCCAATGTATCTCAGATAGTCTGGGATTATTGGCACTATGACCATATACAACATGTTGTCTAGCAACAAGGCTATAGATACTATAACGAGGATGATTTTTCTCTGGGAGGTCGGCTCTTTGATTTTCTCCCATAATATCTCCCTTACTTCCCTCACTTCCAAGTTGACGATTGGAATCATGGAATTGTCGATCCTCTGCCATATCGTCTGTGGTCCCTCCGCCATGTTCACTTCTTTTATATCTCTTTACCAGTAAGATATTACTTCTTATCGCAGCTTCTGATCATCTTCTAATCCACTGTGGACTCTCATACATCTACCGGTCGTCCTCCACAACCCTCAATGGACTTCGGAACCTGACAACAAACAGAAATGATCATTTATTATCATTTCGTTTAAAGAAAGTTAAGGAACTCCCTGTTGTGGGATGGAGTGACTTGATTCAAAAGGATTTCGATTCGATCTTTGTTTCTGTCAGTTGGCATGGTTCCTCTGTCCGGAGCGGTCATGTTACACAACATCTTCAACCCAAAGACGATTCAGAGTCCTTTTGAACAAAGCACATTTTTGAATGACTTAAAGCACCAGAGATATTTGCCACGAAAGCATTTAAGTATCCGAAGCAAAGAAAATTCACCAAATAAACATTAGATTAAAATTTAAAAGGGTTTTTTAATCATGTCTAAGAATCGCGAATTCAGCAACCTCAGCAACTGCCACTATAATTTTTATCAGGATTATACTAGTACTTAAAATTACGTATTTAAAATTAATTAAAAAATTTGATAATTTTTTTTTTTTTTTTTTCAATTATCTAATTATAATTTACAATTATTCAATAGAGTCTTGGAAATACGTTTGGATTTAATAAATATAAATGTTTTGTCTGTTGGACGGATAAAAGTACTATGAGCCCAAACATGTTGATAATGCCACCCTACCAGTTCCTACTGCGAAGCTACCTCATGTACCTCATGTACCTCTTTAGAAGCCCTTTGGGATAGAAATTACAAAATTTCAAATCAATCAATCATTTAGTCCGGTCAACCATTCCATTTTAAAAATACTTTTAAACTGTCAATATAACTAGGTTTTCTTTGTTAATTTCAAACGTGCACGCTTATGAATGTCGAATTAAATTTAACAGAGTTTAATATTTAACAGAATAACGTTCCAACATCGCAATTAACTAGTAACCGGTTGTAGAGGGCATGCAGCGCACCCTAATGCAATCATTTCGTTTTGAAGTTTAGGGATCCTTTATTAATGCAATTACGTCTTCAACCTGTAGTATTCGAGTTGTTAAACATAGACAGCGCACCGGTTGTGAATGGCTACCACTGCCCATGGAAACTGGCAAGCCCTTTGGTAAAAACAAATTCACATTGGGGTCTTATTTGAAAGGTGGTAAAGCCCAAAATCTCAAGGTGGCTGGCAAAATTGACGTTTGAAATCTCAGAAAGGCATGAAAATACCCACGTTTATTTGACTATCATCATCAATCATATCAGCCTAAAATAGAACTACCGCATTTCTCTCTTTGGTTGTTGTAAAAGGCGACTAAAGGGTTCACTGGAGATGGTCAGCAGCTTGCTCTGAGTATTTATATGAAAGTACTGCGCCTAACTAGCCTAGCCATGCGTTACTAGACACCGGTGGTCTATCCTATATATTTTACGTCCGCACCAGTAGGTATCCCATTCTGCTTATTTCTAGCATCAAACAGCCGTAGAAGGTACGGATATATGAAGAATGGGATATTACCTAAGACGCCTACTTCTAGTGTCTTTGATTTTGGCATCCCCATTGTGATGAGCCCCAGTGTGTTTCTTTCAGCTTCGGTAACCACTTCACGCGAACCATTCGCTCGTTTACCCAACTACGCGAGAAATAATTTAGAAACCTTAAAATATTTACTCGGAATATCCTCATTTAGCTTTCCATCACTCAGGTAAGTAATTATATCACCGAAAATCTCTAGAATACCTCAAAGAGACGTTTCTAGTCAGTAATCCGGACGACTTGTTTAGCCGGAATCCAATTTGTCGCAGCGACCGACCCGTCTAAAGACCTCATTATCCAAGCTTCGACAAAATGGGAGGGGTATTTCGCTCATTTTTACACGCTTTTTTCGACAAAATATAATTGAAAATCAATCTTTTTTAATCTGTATTATGTTAACATAAATGTTAGAATAAAATTGGAGTAAAACTATTATAGGATTATTATTTGAAAGATTAATGTTGTACAATTGAATTAATTAACATCTGGCTCCAAACTACGATTCCCAGTACTCTGACTATACCGGAGACTGATCTATTTATTTACATAGGTATAATAATTTACATAAATAGATAATAGACACTTAGCCACATAACAAACGAACCTGGTCTCCAAGCGATTATAATGATACCTCCCGATAAGCATTCATACGATCCGCCACGCTGCACTAAACCGATCCCACCAAGCCATTTAAAACTCAACGACAGTCTCATCACAGAATAGAACTTTTTAGGCGTTCCTGTCCACCGAATACTAATGAGGGTTGCGATCCAGTGACTAACGAGGCAAATGATTAGGGTAAGCAACCCTTTTCTTCGATAAAACGTTCTGGGCAGCACTTTGAAAACCAAAATGGTTAGGACTATAAGCAATATGCCGTGTACTAATACTTTGATGATACTATAAGATAGGCGGATGACGTAAGCATAATCAAAAATGCTTTTATAACTATCTAGCGATTTCTGATTTAGTCGATTTCAGACACTTCAATGACATTTAGTTGACGGTCATTGATGGCGGCGCTGCAAGAAATCTGTTTATTGATTTAATTTAGTTACTAAACCATAAAAGCGCTTCGTGATTCGTGAATCACATTGCCTGATTAATTTAGAAAGTTTTCTATTGTGTAAAAGATACAATATCAACCGAAGTTTTCATGCCTTTCTCGATGTTAGGTTTAATATTCCTATAAATGGGCAGTCTACCTCACGCCCTACTTGGACATAAATAGCTTTCAGGTCTACATTAATGTCATAACGTAAACGGCACTCCTCAACGAGAGAAATCAAGCTGAAGTGCCAGTTGTATTAAAATAGTACCTTAAAATGTACCACAAATCGAAATTGTTTAGCCGTAGAAATATTGAAGGTAACGATACTTAGTATCTTAGAAAGTGCTATTAATTGATAAAGCTGTCAGCCTAAATAAATATTACACATACTAGCTGACCCGGCAGACTTCGCAGTGCCTCAATCGATAAACAAAAGACCTAAGCTTTTGTATAAAATAAACAAAAGGAATCCGTCCGGAAATTTGTTATTTTTATTAAATTCCGATCATTCTCATGTTTATCTACCTTTTAAACCTTCTCTGGACTTCCACAAATAGTTCAAGACCAAAATTAGCCAAATCGGTCCAACCGTTCTCGAGTTTTAGCGAGACTAACGAACAGCAATTTATTTTTATATATATTTAGATTTAAAATCTTGGCCAGTGGTTGTTTTAAGTAATGTCCCAGCTCCCGCAATTTAAAAACTATCATCATTAACAGCATTTCTAAGATGAAACAAAATATAGCAACACAAAATAATATTTTTGATAATTGAATAGAAAAAGTAATATCTCGAACTTTCTCGAGTCGTAATTTCTGAAAGAAAGCTTAGGTAGCTTTGCAAGTTCGGGCCAAGGCTGTGTCGTACGTGGTGGCGTTAAGGAAAATCGAAACAAGTTTGGTATAATTTATATAGTGATCGCGTGTTTGATAAGATGTTATTAATTTTGTAGAAAGCCATTATTTTCTTAATAATAAATCATAAATCGACTTAAAAAAAAGTACATTTTGCAAAAAACTTCAGGCCAACACTTAAATTTAAGCAAATGGCCCCGTAATCACAATGTATTTTGCAATTCACATTTCGCTCGTTTATCGATTTAACCACTATGACTAAATGACGAAAATAAAATGTATGTATATTAATCGACAATTGTTAGAACCTAACCTAATCTATCTTAAGAAGGAGGGAGCCTGGAGATCAGTAATACAGATCTTTGAACATAGTACAGACTTCAGCTCTTTTAAAGGCTTACAAAATAAATTATAAGGTTAATTTCCATTCGTATTTGTACTATACCTTTAAGAGGGAAATAAATAAATTATGATTATTTATAACGAAGTTTACGTCTAAAATCTCACTACACGAGAGTTTGGTATTCCAGTGAAAGGGTAGAACAGTCGCTATATAACCGAGACTTCGAGGTCTGCTCATGAAACAGTATTATTTCACATGAGGTTAATTTTAATTGCTCAATATTACATCCAGTATAAAACTTCAGTACAAAATTTCGATATCACTTCCAATGCGATCAGAAACAAAATACTTGAGATTGCTTTTATTGGTTAGAAACCGCTAAAGCTTGTATAAAACACCATACGTAACTGGCGAATTGGTCACGAAAGTATTAATCTAACGAAAATATAGCGTGCTCTTGAGTTGAGTTGAGTTTTCTTTGGAAATTTCGTGTTTCATTTTCCTGGTCTCCCTATTCACATTTTTGTGAAGGACGAATAGCTCTCGCTTGTTTATATTGTGCCACCTCCAAAGATTCGGTAGGGAGCAACATGGCTATGCTAGTTACAATTGCAATGACAAAAAAATAAAAAACAATTACAATTGTGTTAATTAGTTCAACCATGTCTTTCGTGTATGTTAACTTCCATAGTTCTTGTGATAAATTCCTGACCACGGCATTTTCTCTTAGGCCTAAATAGCATTGGAAATTTGGCGTTAGCTAATAGTATTTGAAATTGTATTTTTTCTATAAAGAAAAATATAGTTGAGCCTTTGAAAGTGTAGGGGGTCGTGGTACAATAACTGACGTAGAGTGACGAAGGAGTCCCTAACCGAATTATATGGAAAGTAAACAGTTGTATTAAAATAGAATGAAATTGCTATTTCTATGGGAGCCGGGGCCCCCGGGGACGGTACGGCTGCAGGCGAAACTGACGCGATATCGTACCATTTACTTATTTTTTATTAACATCGTGAGTTTTTCAACTAAGGTGAAGGAACTCACCCATCTCTAAAGTCACTCAACCTGATACCAAAGGCCGATTCAATAGCATTCGAACAACAGAACGTCATTTTATTGAAGTCGTCGTGGCCTAAAGGATAACACACCTAACACGTCCGGTGCACGATTGACTTCCAGGGTGAAGGAATAACATCGTGTAATAAAAATCAAATCCGCAAAATTCTAATTTGCGTAATAGAACTTTTATCTCAAGGTAGGTGGCGCATTTACGTCATAAATGTCTATGGGCTCTAGTAACCACTTCACACCAAGTGGGTTGTGA